GGGGGGGCCTGCCTCACGGCTGCGGGGCGTGGGGCCTGGTGCGGGCCTGGCTCCCACTCCGGGGGCGGTCTCGCGATGTTTAAATTAACCCTTCATCCTCCGCAGGCTGTAGAACGAGAGGGAAATCGGCATCAATGGTTCTGTCGGTCCTCTTGATGTGCGAGGCCCTGCAGGCGGGGAAGAGGGAGGTCTCCTTCCGCGCCTCGGGGCCGTGGAGCCCCATTTCGTCTCCTGGGGCCTTTTGGGGGGCCTCTCTTGGCCCAGGGTACAGGCGACAACCTGCACAACCCCCGCCTTAACGAAGCTGGGGAGGGGTCTGGAGCCCCAGGCTGCTGGGGAGCGACTGGGGGAGCTGGGGGTGTTCATCCTGGAGAAGAGGAGGCTGAGGGGAGCCCTTATCGCTCCCTACAACTGCCTGACAGGAGGGGGGAGCTGGGGGGGGCTCGGTCTCTGCTCCCAGGGAATGGGTGATGGGATGAGGGGAAACGGCCTCAAGTTGCGCCAGGGGAGGTTTAGGTTGGGCATTGGGAAAAATTCCTTCCCCGCAAGGGCTGTCAAGCCCTGGAAGGGGCTGCCCGGGGCGGGGGTTGAGTCCCCATCCCTGGAGGGATTTAAAAGCCGGGCAGATGAGGTGCTTAGAGCCAAGGTTTAGTGATGGACAGGTATGGTTGGGATTGATGATCATAAAGGTCTTTTCCAGCCAAAGGATTCTATGATTCTGTGTGGCCCTGGGTGCTTCCCCACATCTGGGAGAGTTGCTTCCCCTCCAGTAAGGCTGGGACATGCTTGTCCCAAGCCACCATGGCCAGAAAATCGTGGAGAAAATGGTTTTACTGCTTGTGGCCATCCCTAATCGCCATGATTTCTGTCACGACAGGCTTTTCCTACTGCAAACCCAGCAGGAGACCAGCCAGGATAAGGCCATCTCCAGCAGACGTTGAGGATTTCCTCAGTAACACTAGATGGTACCAGAGCTCCACACAGGCTCAGACAGGACCCGGCTGGATGGGAAGTACCTCAAAAATGGAAATTCTGAAACATGGAAAGCTGAAGATGTAAAACTACAATATATTAACGTGTTGTTGGCAAAGTAATCACTTTTTCTATGGGAAAAAATGGACAGGGGAGTTGGGAATAAAATAAGGACATTTTTCTGGCGTTCAGGGCAACAAATGTGATGTAGTTATTTGTGATTAAAAATTATCAGCAAAGTGAAGGCATTACAGCGCGTGGTAGGGAAGCATTTGAAGACTGATTATCAAGGAGTTTTTCATTACTAGTAATTAGTTAATAGTTAAGGAAAATCTAGGAAGCATTTTAACTTAAGCAGAAACCGCCATTAAATCAAAAACGATGAGTTACATTCCTGGTATTGTTACTGTTAGGAACTATTGAAACGGCACTCGGAATACGCTTGCCTTTTTCTGCACACATCGCAACACGCTGCCTGAAATATTCCTGCGTTAAAAAAAAAAGACAAAAAAAGCCTTCCTGCAAAAACGAATATTTATTCCGTGAATAATCTTTAACGTCTTCGTAGCTTTCAACGCCTTTGGGCAAAATGTTTCAAGTTCCTGTGCTTACAATGAAAATATCTAAACCTGGCACCTGAAGAGGTAGACTGATTTCAGCTGTATGGAGCACTTTCAGTAGAGACATCATTTCTTTCACATCGTTGCCTCTGTAGCATGAAAGCATTTTAGCAGCCTCGAGTAACTCAGCGCAGCAATTTAGGTGATGAAATGAAGTATTGAGATAGCAGGGAGAAATAATAAAAGGCAGGACTGGCGGTTGGCCAGAATAATTTTTCTAAACCTCCACTCTCCTGCAGAAGTCCTACGAGATGATCTTATGGCTAAATATGGTCAGGACTTCAGTGCTGCACCTCATCCAAAACACAGCAACGCTGGTGTTTCCTCTCTTTCCAGATGAAGAGTTGGCGTTGGCGTCCTATTTTCAGTGGTGTGGGTGTAAAATATGTTGGTTAAATTTCACATCGCCTGAGCTCAGTCTGCTCTGCCATGTCGGGTTTTGTGCCCAGACCTAGCAAAGCTCACGGGCTGGGGATTGAAATCACAGGCTCCTGCTTCATGGCCTTTGTCTTGTAGGTCAGCATCTTTTGCGTTTGGGGTGAAGAGATTACGCACTCTGCATCAACAAGGGCATCACCAGCAGAGATAAAGAAGCCCTCATCCCACTCTGCTCAGCGCTTGCCAGGCCACACCTGGAATCCTGTGTGCAGTTCTGGTCCCTGCTGTACAAAAAGCTGTGGGCAGGCTGGAGGGGTCCAGAGCAGGGCCACCAAGGTGATCCAAGGGCTGGGAAGCCACTTTCAGCTGCGTGAGGATGGGCTGAAAGAGCTGGGTTTGTTCAGCCTTAGGCAAAGGAGGCTCGGAGGGGATCTCATCACCGTCTACCAGTATTTAAAGGGTGGCTACAAAGAAGATGGAGACTTCCTTTTCACAAGGAGTCATGTGGAGAGGACAAGGGGTAATGGGAACAAGTTAATCATGAGAAGATTCCGATTGGACATAAGTAGGAAATTTTTCGCCATGAGAACAGTCAACCATTGGAATCATCTCCCGAAGGGAGGGGTTGACTCTGCCACATTGGACACTTTCAAGCCTCAGCTGGACAAGGTGCTGGGCCATCTTGTCTAGACTGTGCTCTTGCCTAGAAAGGTTGGACCAGATGATCCTTGAGGTCCCTTCCAACCTGGGATTCTATGATTCCATGATTCTTTCCTGCTCCTTGAGCCTGTAAGTCAAATGTAATGCCCTGTCCTGAGCCACAAGCTGTGTGAAGTAAATAAAAAAAAAAGAGAAGGAGCTTCCAGTGAACTCCCACAGTCACAGTGAGAGGACCAGCGATCAGGTTGGTGTTCAGTCCATTTCAATGGCCAGCAAGAGCTGGTCCATGAAGTGCTAGAAATGTCATAAAACACACCTGGAAACGCAAACAAATTCTTTTGCTTATGTTTCATGAGAGCGGCAGCTTTCCCATCACCTCACAGCACAGACTCCTCTGCCGAGTGCTTGTCTCTGCCCCTTCCCATGTGAAGGATGTGGGAACTCTGTACAGGAACGGGAGCAGAGATTTGGGAATGAAGAAGATGAGGGTATATTTGCAGATATCTGGCAACCTCAGAATAAAGAAGGGGAATATAGACAGTAAATAGCTGCAGTCTGGAAGGTGAAGCATTAAGGAAAGCACACACAATGCCATGCATCAGTAAAGCTGCTACTGGTTGCTGGGACCGTGCCCACCATTTCCCCACAGAGCCCTGCCACGTTCTTGGTTTATTTTACAGGGGAGAGGCATGGAAGGTGCCAGACTGGACTGACATCAGTGCTTCCAGGAGGCCTGACAAGGAGCAGTCTGGACCAGGTCAGGGCGCTAACTGGAGTTGCAGAAGACTTCTGTTCCCTGGGAATGAACAGCCGAGAGCTAGAGGAATGGGTTTCTATCCACCAGCTCCTGAAGCAGAAAGGGAATTTCTCTCTGACTGCAACAGCAGAGCTGTAGAGCAAACAGACTGTTAAAATGTCTGTTCAAAAAAATTTTCACGTCCCATTTATATTTACTGCTGCTTCATTCTGTTGAAAGTCAAAGGCCCATTTGTACCCAATGAAAGGCTTGGGACAGATCAATTGACTGGAAAAGGCTCCGAGGATTGAAACCTACAATTCCACATGGACAAGTGCTAATCCGTCAGTCTGCTGAGCCCAACCAAGGTGCCGCAGGTCTTTCCAAGCACTTGGAGCTGACTCATGTCATGGCTTTTGTGCTTGTTTGGCCCAAAAATGGACGTTCAGTGCTGGAACTGTTAAAGAGATTCTTATAACTGAGCTTCTGGGAAAAGAGTTGTGGTCTTTTCTAGCTACCTTTGGCATCTCTGCAGATTCATTGGCTCTGTTAATGAGCAAACTTTCCTTGGTGACACGAAGGGGGGGTTCTCCCCTGCTTCAATCTTTGAAGTGCCTCCTGGTGCTTTGCAATGGGCTGATGAAGCGTTGTCTGCTCTCTGGGATCAGATCTGCTCAACTTTCATAAGGAAACAGGATTTACATGCGTATGAGTGAATGACAGGCCCTGTTTGTATCCTGATGTGGTTGAGGTGGGAGGGAACCTTCCTTGTTCTCCAAAAACCAGGATCCAAGAGGAGGGGTTGAGAAAGAAAAATATCCATGTCTCACTGTGCAGGAGGAGAAAAATGGTAGCAGAGTAAGGAAAACTGGTTAGCTCAAGGCCTGCCTTAGACGGAGGTAGAGAGCCACTAAGTAAGAAACAAGCTTTTACTTGATTTTACTGATTTTGTGAGGAAATGCGATTTCCGTGGTGACAGCCCATGGAAGAGCACATGTTTCCCTCACAGCCGCAACCCCCAGTAATTACTGAATTCTGGTGCCAGTTTCAACCAAATGGACAGCACGTAGAAATCCCAGAGGTAACACGTTCCTAAAAGTGTTGTGCTAAG